TGGGGCTTGGCTGTTGCTCAGAACGCTCAAGGAAGCTGGTGATAAGAACATTTCCAAGCGGCCAGTTGAAAGTAAGAAGCCGGGATGCACAATGAGCCTGGGATACTTCTGTTCTCTGGGAAATCCTTTAGAAGTCTCCCAATTAAGGCCATTATCCAAGACAAATAGTCAGGATGCCTTGGGTGGGAGGGGGCAGGGGAAGAGAAAGGAAAAGAGACCTGCCCTGCGGTTAGGATCCTAATCCGGCTAACTTTTTTCTCAAGGGCAGTCAAGTTGCGATTTGCAAACAAGTTAGTATACAGATGCAATTATTTCAACCAGGGGTCATTTCCTGCAGGAGCGCACAGGAGCGGAACTCTAGCAGTAAAGAGCCCAGGGGGCGGGCACATGCAACAAGCCCCACCCCCTGCTCCCAGCAGCCCTCAGTCAGAGCAAGAAGCAGCCAGGTAAGCTGCAGAGCCTCCCCCCCCATAGCGGCCCAAAACAGTCCAGTGGCACCTTTAAGACTGAGTTTCATTCAGGTACAAGCTCTCACTCCTCTGCGAGGACAGATCTGCACATCCCCCCCCATAGCTAGCAATCCAAAACAGTCCTGTTGAGCCTGAGCGGTGGGTGTTGCCTTCTGACACACTTCCGGTGAGGTCAGGGGGTGTGGCATATTATGCTACCGAGGGGTGTGGCATATTATGCTAATGAGTTATGCTAATGAGCTCCTGCACCTCTTTTTCTATTAAATGACCCCTGATGTCAACTAAGCCTGTTCGTTCTAAAGGGCAGAACTGAACTCCTTAGCAGTCATGGGATGCCCCTGGATAGATCTATGGCGCGGCCTCATTTGGAATACTGTGTATTCCAGCAGTTTGGTGTAGTGGTTAAGTGTGCAGACTCTAATCTGGGAGAAGCGGGTTTGATTCCCCACTCCTCCACTTGCAGCTGCTGGATGACCTTGGGCAAGCCACAGTTCTCACAAGAGCTGTCCTTGAAAAAGCAGTTCTCGAAAGAGCTCTCTCAGCCCCACCTGCCTCAAAGGGTGTCTGTTGTGGGGAGGGGAAGGGAAAGGAGTTTGTAAGCCGCTCTGAGACTCCGAGTGAAGGGTGGGGTATAAATCCAATCTCCTCCTCTTCTTCTTCTTCTCTTCTCTTCTCACCGTTCTGGTCACTGTATCTCAAAAAGGACATTGCAGAGCTGGAAAAAGTACAGAGAGGAGGGCAACCAAGATGATATGGGGGTTGGAGTACCTTCCCTTTGAGGAAAGGCGGAAGAGTCTGGGACTTTTCAGTTTAGGAAAGAGATGACTAAAGGGGGACATGAGAGAGGTTTATAAAATTATGCATGGGGCGGAGAGAGCTGACAAAGAGAGCGTTTCCTCCCCCCTCCCAAAATACTAGAACTCCAGGGCATCCATTGAAGCTGATGGGCAGTAGGTTCAGGACGGACAAAAGGAAATACCACTTTACACAGTGAGTGATTAAAATGTGGAATTTGCTGCCAGAGGAACTGGTTGGCCACTGTGTGAGACAGGATGCTAGACAAGATGGACCCTCAGTCTGATCCAGAAGGGCTCTTCTTATGTTCAACTATCCTATGCAAGGATAGTTCTAAAACCACTCCATTGTATTAGTGCCAAACACTTGTGGCAAGGAACCTGTGTATGGTAAGTACTGTCTGTTGCTGTAAGAAACGGAGATGAGCACTACCCCCTAGAGTCGGATTCGATTGGCTTTTGAGCAAGGGAAACCTGTACCTTTACTTTTTAATTATACCATCGTCGTTTGTATAGTTTCTATTGCTTGTTCAGCTTCTCCTGTGACCTCTCATAATTTGTAACCTCCAGGTGAGGCTTGGAGAGCTCCCGAAATTATAAATGATCCCCGGACTACAGAGATCAGCTCCCCTAGAGAAAATGGCTGGTTGGGAAGCCTTATATACCCCACTGAGGTCTCCCCATCCCCAAACACTCCCCTCCCCGGGCTCCGCCCCATAAATCTCCAGGAATTTCCCAACCTGCACTTGGCAATTCTATCCCGGGAGGCATCTCTTGACCACCAGGTGTCCTCCGGGCTCACCTTCCTGTTCTCTCTCTCCTTCCTCTCGTTTTGCTTCTCCCTCTGGAGCAGGTAGCCTTCGGAATTGCTGCGGCTCAGGTAGGGCCGGCTTTCTCTGCTGCTCTCCAGGTTCAGCCGCGAGTCGCTCTCCCCCCTCTGCATGACGGGCGGCAGCATGCTGGCCAGCTGGTCATCGGCCAGCTGAGAGATCTCCTGGTGGTGCCTCTCGGCCGCCTGGATGAGCTGCTCGGTCGGAGAAGGAGCGCCTCTCAGGTTGTGGGCAAGCGGCTGGGGTGGCCTCGGGAAAGGAAGAGCAGGCAAACAGAACAAGGGAGAAAGGGGGGTGGGGAGAAGATAATGGAGCGGAATCATTTGAGACCCACCTGGCTGGTCATAACAACAACATGGAAGGTATGCATACAGGGGGTGGGGGTGGAACGACTCCTTGCAGCATAGAGGTCTGGGGGGGTCACGTGATCCAGAAATCCAAGTCTTATGAGGAAAGGCTGAAAGAGTTGGGTATGTTTAGCCTGGGAAAAGAGAAAGCTTAGAGGGGACCTGATTGCAGTCTTCAAGTATTTGCAGGGGTCATTTCCTGCCGGAGCGCACAGGAGCGGAGCTCCGGCAGTAAAGAGCCCAGGGGGCGGGCACATGCAACAAGCCCCACCCCCTGCTCCCAGCAGCCCTCAGTCAGACCAAGAAGCAGCCAGGGAAGTTTCAGAGCTCCCCCCGGCTTCCCGGTCCAAAACAGTCCAGTGGCACCTTTAAGACCAAGTTTTATTCAGGTACCAGCTCTCCCTCCTCTTTGAAGACAGATCTACGCATCACCCCCCACACACACACACAATAGCTAGCAATCCAAAAGAGTCCAGTGGAGCCTGAGCAGTGGGTGTTGCCTTCTGACACACTTCCGGTGATGGCAGGGTGTGTGGCATATGCAAATAAGGCATGCTAATAGGTTATGCTAATGAGCTCCTGCACCTCTTTTTCTACGAAATGACCCCTGAGTATTTGAAGGGCTGTCATGTAGAAGATGGAGCAGATCTATGCTCTCTTGCTCCGGATTGCAAGACTGGATCTAATGGGTGGAAACTACAAGGGAGTCGTTACCGGCTAAATATCAGGAGAAACGTCCTAACTGTCAGAGTGGTTGAGCAGTGGAACAGACTGCCTCGGGAGGTGGTGGATGCTCCTTCGCTGGATGTTTTCAAGCGGAGGCTGGATGACCATCTTTCAGGTATGTTGTAGGGCTATCTTTCGGCTATGCTCCTGCAGAGTGCAGGGGGTTGGACTAGATGACCTGCAAGGTCCCTTCCAACTCTAACATTCTATGATTCTATGATTCTAAACCTTCCTAAAGAGAAGCAGGTCTGGTGCTGGTCACTGCCTGAACTGGAGGCTTACTGGGTGTCTCCCCTCAGCTGACGTCCGCTAACTTGAGTTCCACGATAGAAAGAAGTTAGGAAACGAAAAAAGCGGGCTTCTTCAGCTGTCTGCCGCCCACGTTTGGAACGCCATACAAAGGGATTTCGTTTACCTCGCCTGGCTAATTGCCTCTGATCATAATAGCTATCGACAGGCCTATCCACATCAGTTTGCAGTGTTTTAACAGGCAGTTACCTTTTTAGCCATTTTACTGTGATGTTTTATTTTGCCCACCGGCAGTTTTATATATGCTGTTGTCTACCCTCACTTAAAAAAAATCAGCCAGCCAAACCTGCGGCATGTTTTACATAACATATAAATTACGTGTTGCAGGGAACATGGAAGGGTTTAGCCCAATCCCATCACATCTCATAAGAACATCAGAGAAGCCAGTGTTGGATCAGGCCAATGGCCCATCCGGTCCAACACTCTGTGTCACACAGTGGCCAAAAATACCAGGTGCCATCAGGAGGTCCACCAGTGGGGCCGGGACACTAGAAGCCCTCCCACTGTTGCCCCCTCCCAAGCACCAAGAATACAGAGCATCACTTGCCACAGACTGAGAGTTCCTATCTATACCTTGTGGCTAATAGTCACTGATGGACCTCTGCTCCATATGCTTATCTCAGAAGCTAAGCAGGGTCATTACTTGGATGGGAGACCTCTGCATGGATCTCATGTTCAGAGGCAGCCAAGAGGCAGCATCAGGGGAAGTCTTTGGCTTTTCTGTCCTGGTTGGCCCCTGTGTGAGACAGGATGCTGGACTAGATGGACCACTGGTCTGATCCAGCAGGGCTCTTCTGATGTTCTTATGAGACCATCAAGACAGATTCTGCAGAGGAAGGCAATGGCAAACCACTGCTGCTTCTCATTGCCTTGAAATCTGCTTGCTGGTGTTGCCATCAGGCCCGTAGCAATGGTGGGGCTTTTGGGGGCTTCCCCCCCTTTCTTAAAGGCACAGCCCCACAAGAATTTCTCCTGTAAATGCTTCTTTCAATCATTGTTAAACATTTTTTTTAAAGTCGTGTGCTCTTTTAAGCAGAGTGTGGTGCTGTAGTTGACTAATTCCTGCACTGATCAAGGGGGTTGGAGTAGGTGACCTCTAGGGTTCCCTCTAACTCTGTGTCAAGAAACTGATCTCCTTTCAGAGAGTTTTTATGGCTAAGTGTTGGCTCTCTTGACTATAGAAATCATCACCCCCACACCTGCCAGCTTGTTCTCAGAATTGTTGCTTGGGCTGGCAGCAGTGATTAACTTGCAGCGGCCGAGAACTGTCCTCTAAAGTGGTTGACAGCTTGCAGTTTAGAGTTCTATCCTGGCAACAGCTTTCTGTTGGCTAAAAGGCTTTCCTTTCTGCTCTGAGAAGTTCAGCTCCACTGGAAAAAAACTTGCCCCACAAGCCACAAAATCCTGGCTATGGGTCTGGTTGCCATAAGCTGGTTGTGACATGATGGCACTTCTATGGATAAACAATGTGTTTTGGTAGTGGAATGGCACTGTCAGGCTCAGGTTGGCTGACCATATGTACCTGTTGTATTAGTGCCTTGACATCCCTATATTCATTGCTCTGCCTTTTTGTTGTCATAACCTTTTCCCCCTGTTCTCCCTACAGAGTGTTATTTTAACACTGATGCTCTTATCGTCCAACCTTGCCTGTCACTACATTCCTAAGGGGGGGGAGCGAGTGTATGCATGTAGGAGGAGGGTTGCTTGCGGGTGTAATTCTTCTATGGAGCCCTCAAGAGACGTCTTTCACATGGGAAGGTGTCCTTGGGAGAAAAGACTTTGATTAGCTAGAGATGGGCCCTATATCTCTCACGGTCCATGCGGGCCTGCTGACATGTATGAATGGAATGTGTGATTGTGACTATGTACACCTTTCCTGCCTTAACCCCTCAGTCCTGACAAAGAGGTCATTCTCTGAACATCTCTCATCTTCAAATAAAACTTTCAGCCAGGAAAGTGTGTGCGAAGGGTGATTTGACAGGGACTCTGACAGTCACATAGAGCCTAGGGAATTCACTGCCATGAGGCCGAGTGATAGCCAGTAGCTTCGAAGGCTTGCAGGACCATCCTAAACGTGGCGTAGAAAAAGCCCAGCAGGAACTCATTAGCATAATAGGCCACACCCAGCAGTAAAATCATTAGCATATTAGGCCACACCCTTGACAGCACAGCACATTAGCATATTAGGCCACACACCCATGTTACCAGAAGTGTGGTTATCCAGCCACACCCACCTTTTGCTTCTTATTCTGTTTACCTTGCTGTCAAAACCCAGGGTTTTTTTTGTAGCAGGAACTCCTTTGCATGTTAGGCCACACACCCTTAATGTAGCCAATTCTAATGAGTTTCTGCTGTTGGGTGTGGCCTATTATGCTAATGAGTTCGTGCTGGGTGTGGCCAACTCAGGAGTCAGCTGGAACTCCGTTCCTGTGCGTTCCTGCCCAAAAATAGCCCTGTCGAAACCTATTAAAATAATCACCAGTACATCAAACCTCCATGTTCAGAGGCAGTGTACCTTGGAAATAAGGGTCTGGTCGGGGGCGTCTGCTGAATAGCCGGACGTGTGCATGACCTGATTCAAATGTTTGTCAAGGGAAAAAAAGATCATACCTTCCATTAGTGGATGAGAGACACTGTGCGGCAATTGTACAGAGAATCATGAACCATATAGTGGAAAAGTTCAGTGCCTGCAAAATGCTACATGGGGATACGGCTTGGGAAGACGTCTGGACTGCATAAGCTATTCAAAGCAATTTTAGATTCGAATCAAGAGAAAATGACCAGGTCTGACACACTGAGACTGCCTTCTACTGAATCAGACCACCAGTCTATCAAGGTCAGTAGGGTCTACCAACGCCCCCTCTAAACTGTGTTGTGAGCAAAAATTCTACTTGGTGAGCTCAACTGGCATGAAAGTTGTGAGCGAGCCATTTGGCTACTGCATCAATGAGCTTGCTCCGGAGCCCTCCTTCCTGAGCGAAGACAAAAATCTGTGAGCCGGAGGCTAAAAAACTGTGAGCTAGCTCACACTGACTCAGCCTAGAGCAGTGGTGGCGAACCTATGGCACGGGTGCCAGAGGTGGCACTCAGAGCCCTCTCTGCGGGCACGCGTGCCATCGCCCCAGCCAGGCCCAGACCATCATTAAAGCATCGAATTCTCTGCCAAATAATTTTAAGTAAATGAAAGCATTTGGGATTGCTTTCCTTCCTTTGTTTGGATCATCTTAAGTTAATGTATGAGTTGTTTTTTCTAAAGTAAAACCTCAGTGTTCGGGTTAAATTGCCGTGTTGGCACTTTGAGATAAATAAGTGGGTTTTGGGTCGCAGTTTGGGCACTCGGTCTCTAAAAGGTTCGCCATCACTGGCCTAGAGGGAACCCTGGTGTCTACTCAGACTGGCAGCAGTGGCTCTCCAGGTTCTCAGGCACTCACGTCACCCATTGCTCCATCTGTGGATTGAACCCAGGACGTTCTGCATGCCAAGCAGATGCTCTGCCACGGAGCTACAGCCCCCCCTCCCCGCAGAAAGCACCCTTCATTAAACCACATCCTTACCCTGGGTCACCAGAAACATGGCTGCTACGGATGTCCTCGCTACAAATATTTCTGGAATTCCAAGATGAATGTCCTTTGTCTACTGGCTGCCGGAGTCCGGGATCGTAAGCAGATGAAATTTTTTTGTCCCCTAAAGGGTCCCGATGCTTGCCATGTCCGGGCAGGGAACAGGGCTCTGAAAAGACACACCTATGTGGGGATCGCTGTTGGTACCCAGAACAGTTTTCAGTATTCTGTCGGACTTCCTGGTTGTTTTCACCAGTACGTGGCAAACGAAACACGGGGAAGTTTGTGTATGGACTCGGCAGAAGAGGATTCCTAACAAAAGTCAAGTTCATGGAAGTCTCCTGGCCATCTTGGCAAACCAAGTAGACCGGGCCTGCGTGCCACTGGGTGTCCTGAATCCCCGTGGCGACGGAAGGCCAGAGAAGAGCGACGGGTGGATTCGGAGGTAACCTGCAATGTAACAAACCTCTGCTGTCCGGCTCCAAATTGGGAACCTTGCTGGAAGAGCTGGAATGTGTCGGAGTGTTCTCAGATTCTAACTCATTGTGATGTCTGCCATGCTGGCCTCTTAGTTCTACTGGAGCTCCCACTGGATACTGGATGGAGATTTCCTTCAAGGGTGTCCCTTGGCTTGGGTCTGTTCCTCCCATCTCAGGCCCATTGCTTTGGTGAGCCTAAAACGATCAGTTAAATTTGTAGTGAAATTCAAAATAGTCACTTCGTAATAAGACTTTGAAAATGCGAGCAAAGCCCGCACAGCTCTTGTTAACATGGTCCCGGCTGTGTACACACAATCTTAACTAAAGATGGTCAAGCTTGGCAAATTTCCTCGCGCCCTTTTGGCAAGTAGTATACAATGATAAATGCTTTATTATCTGAGGGCAGGAATTTCATACAACACCAGTGCTAAGCTTATATAGCTTACTATGTTCTGTTGTTCGACCTCCAGAGCTGGTTAGCCTCTGTGCAAAACGGGATGCTGGACTAGATGGACTACTGGTCTGATCCAGTAGAGCTTATGTTCTTATCACGGGAAAGGTCTTGGCCTCTATGCCCTGTTACTGGACCTCCAGAGGAACTGGTTGGCCACTGACTGAGACAGGATGCTGGACTAGATAGACCACTGGTCTGATCCAGCAAAGCTTATGTTCTTATCAGGGGAAGGTCCTGGCCTCTATGCCCTTTTGTTGGCCCTCCAGAGGAACTGGTTGGCTACTGTGTGAGACAGGATGCTGGACTAGATGGACCACTGGTCTGA